AGTCACGAGACCACTGAAAGTGAGTTTTTTTTCTCATTAGTCACTTTACAAGTTCAAAAGGTTTTAATGATTATCACTTTAGAAAGGTGTCTGGGGAAAGATTTCAGTAAAGCTCGTGCGAGAGAACATTTTAAGGAGGATTTTGAAGAGAAACACGAGAAGGAAAAAGTGTTCAGATGTAAAAGGTCTGTCTTACTCAAGCTTAGTTAACAGCTCATCAAAAATGCTTCGAAATTCCAGTTTTTCTTGTTTGGTATGCGGCCGGTATAATTTGCAGTCGGAATGTCGCGCTGTCTCCAAGTTGCCGGAGCAGAACTTGGTACTTCTCTGTTGCCTAATCATGGAAAACAGCATAACTTTGGAATTGGCTAAATTGCTTTTCTCAAAAATGAGGTTAAATAGACGCTTGTGCATAAAGCATCACATTCAAGCCGTGAGTTACCGTTTCATCATATTAAACAGTATTTATCTATTTTTAAGCACTTAATTTTGCCTTTTTAGGGGATTTGGTTGGCTAACACGATTGAACAAGCTTTAAAGCAGTCTCCTCCTCGCGATTTTTACGCTATTCCAAATAATATTAAATCACATATAGTGATGCGATTTCGAGATTGTGCTATACTCATTGATGTAAGTTTATCCATGTTATTTATCTAGCGGTAATTTTACATTGTTTTTTGCTCAAGCGTTTAGTGACGGTTGTGTGAAGTCGCTTTTTATAACGATTTTGAAGGGCACTTGTTAATGTGGTTCTTACAAAAACGAGACGAACTAGCTTGGTTTGAGCAAGCGAGTTTGAGCAATATATTTGTTCTTCTGTGAACGTTAAAAACAGTGTCCGGACACTCACTTACTTAGATACTTAGATGGTTCTTCATTCGTCATGCAGACCACAGCACTGTTTCTATTGGTTTTCTGTTTCTTGCTAGCGTCATCCACAATGTTGGTATTGAACTGCGGCAACAACATTCGCGAGGTCCAAATCCATTACTCGTTACCAGCTGAGAATTCAGCTGTCCATCCGTGTATCGAACACGTCAGCCCATCTGGTCTTTCCCTCAGGACGTTTTGTTTCGCGAGGAGTGATTTTCTCCACTGCAAAGCCGCAGTAAACACCTTTGACGACCTCGTAGTCCTCGAAACCGTCTGGATGTGGTCCACGCAGCTGATCCCTTGCGAACTCCCTTTCGAAATTAGTATGTTAAAGGGATGATGGAAAAGCTGTACCGTTGTAGAGCAGTTCATGTAGCAGTCGGCCAATGTCTTCACAAAAAAAGAGTCACCTCTTCATCAAGGAGCGCTGACAGTATGGCATTAGCCTGACGGTGTCAAACACTTTTTCATAGTCGACGAAGGTTAGGACAAGGGAAGAGAGGTAGGCTTTACTTTCTGCAAACCTCGTAGTCCTCGAAACCGTCTGGATGTGATCCACGCAGCTGATCCCTTGCGAAATCCAGCCTGTTCGAAAGGTTGAGCTTCATCCACTGTCTTGAATACGAGTGAGAATAATTTTCGTAAAGAACTTGTAAAGCACTCTCAGCAGATTTTGGACGGTAGTTCCGAAGATCCTCCCCATCGTCCTTTTTATGAAGCAAGATTGTTCGGGAGGTTCTGCACTGGTTGGGGATCCTTTCTTTTTGAAGATAAAACTTTGAGTGTGCCGCAGACGTCTCGTGTAGGCGATATCCTCCAGCCTAAGAGATCGGCTGAAACATGGTCCGTTCCTGGAGCCGTGGCTGCCTTCATGATCTCGATTGCGACACGTACTTCAGCGAGGTTTATTTAAACGGGTGTTGATGAGCGAAAGAGATTGGTCTAGAATCGCTTCGTGTCGATTTCATTTTCTGCCAGGAAGACGTGCGAGTCCCGTTTTCGTTTAGTAATATTCAGCGGAACACGGTAGTCAAAAAGTCCGCGCGCCACTTCTTTAGACTCTCAGTCCTCTAAGAAGCAGGCCGTGGTCTTTCGTTGAAACCTCCTCCAGCCAGTCATAAGTGGTCAGGAGCTCCTCCAATCTGACGCCGTCATACAGGACTTCTCTCCTTCCTCTAACATGGTGGCAGATCTTCTTTTCCAGCTTTCGGCTGAATCGCACTTTGCTCAAAGGAGGCGGTGATTTGAGCCATTACTGAATGGTACCACTGAGACGTCCAGTAGGCACCATCGGTTGGTGATGTGGTCGATCTCCGCGTGAGTCGTGCCGTTGGGTGAATCCCACGTCCACTGCCGGTATTCTTTCTTCATGAAAATGGAGTTGCCATGAAAAAGTCGTGCGGCGGATAAGAACCCTATAAGACGGTTAACATTCTCATACCGGAGTCCTGATCCTAGTCTTCCAATATGCTCCCCTTCTTTTGGCATCCCTATTTTCTCATTGAAGTTACCCACGACAAATTTATAAAAGGATGCGAATCTTTGCGGATAACTTCCTTCCAACCCTCATAAAAAGCATCAATTTTCGAATCATTAGCTGCTGATGTTGGAGATTAACAGTTGATGGTAATGATGGTTTTTTGATGCAGAGAACGGAGTCGAAGGATAGCAGGCGAAGTGATAGGATCTCATGCGAATCGACAAGAGGACAGATGGGTGTACGACAAATTCAACGCTTCCAACGTTACGTGATGGAACTTTCTCACCACGAATAATGAGTGTGCCGTCTCTCAGCTGCCCGTTCATCTTTCTGAACTTTGTTTTTTGCAAGGCGATGACGTGATAGTTGATGCGCCCTGCAGCTTCGAGAGGGGCGCGAACATTGGCGTTGGTGGAGACTGTCCTGGCAGTGTAGGTGCAGAGCATGAGACAGTTCGTGGCGAGTTGTTGACATGTGTTTTCGGTCAGAAATCCATGGCGTCCTATGCCTGACACTGGTCTTGATGATATCCAACGCCGGAGATGTGGTCCAGTGTGCAGAGCTTCTTTTCCTTTTATATAATGTACAGACAATAGAATTTTTCCCCAAACTTAACAGCCTTGCCAGGGCTTGCTAAGCATTCATTCACCAC